CCCACCCTGGTTTGTGTTGTGATTGACAGCACTGTCAGGGTTCTCTGAGCCTGTCAGCCCATGATTGATTGACAATGACAAACAATAGACCAATAATATGTGTAGATGCTGGCAACACACTGCTAGCCCTCTGTAGCCAATTGGCCGGAGAAAAAAAACAAAACAAAAAAACATAGTNAACTGTGATTAATGTCGCTATGTGTTGCCACAAATGAGCAATGTTGTTCAATGTGTTTATATTTCCATATTTATACACTCTGCCTTCCAACGTTAGGTTATCATGAAGCTAGCTATGCAGTATCCTACGTCACTTAAGTAATGTTATTAATCTAAAGCTGTAACCATGGAGACATTACACTAGGCTAACATTAGGGTGAATATAGATTAACTGTAGAGATCGTTCGTCGAAATTTTGTGTATTTTAAACATGTTCAAACAATTAAAACCTAGTACAAATGAACATTACATCTAGTCTGCCATGTATGGAACACCAGTGATAATTACACCACCTCGATAAAATAACAGAACAGAGGCCTCAGTTACCTCCATCAAATACAAAATTACAGTTATTGTGAACAAGGCAGCATGAGTCTAATACCATGATGATCAAACCAGATTTCTCCAGTGCAAAAGTTAAAACGGTTGATGGCCACAATTGGTGTCTATATGTCGGTAACATTTAAGCTGATTTGTATTTTAAACAGAGCTGCATAATTTTATTTTGATTTTCTGAGCATGACACAAAAATGCTCTCTATAAATGTCTCTGAAACGCAAAAATGTTCTCTCACCTCACAAAGTTACTCCCGTTGACCATGATATGCAGGATGCAGAGCACATTGATAATCAATACATAAGTCTTGTTATTGTTCCCTCTCTGTCATGTTAAGTCAACAGAGGTGTTACGTGCCACACAGGGGTGGACTGGGACAAAAATTCAGCCCTGGCATTTTCTGTCCAGACCAGCCCACTACATTATCAGCGGACACTACATAGAAGTCCACTAATCGTGGCATCTTCTCTCATGCATACTACAAAGGAGAGTCATATTCCTTGATAGCAGTTAACAAATAAAGCACTTAACTATGAACTCGAGGACTAAAATTTACAGCTATAGCAATAAATCAATCAATCTTTATTCATTATAGTGTCAAATCACAACAGAAGTTATGTCATGACTAGGGGTGGGACGAGACTAACGGGAAGAACCCTTATGCTACCCTTTCAGTTTTTAGTCTGTGAAACCACAGAATAATGTACAAGATAAAAGATTAGTTCATATTGAACGAAACGTTAGCGAGCGTAACAACATTAGTGGCTTTGCCACGTTTTCATTATGACACTTACTAGTGTTTTCCAATGCAAAAAAGTCAGATCTTTGTGACAATACCTGAAAATGCTCAAGACAGCACTATACACAGCCATTTGAAAACTACAGTAAAAGTAACACATTTACACAGAAATTAAAGTTACACACAAATTATGAAATAGTTATCACCTCAGTAAACAATAAATTAATTGAAAGATTACAATAAATTCAATGGCAAATATTGCAAATTAAACTAATTATTTCCTATAGGTTTACTTGTATTTTGTGCTAAAATTCAAAGTATCTCATCTGTATTTACAATACATCTTTATTCTGCATCTCTACTTACAGCTCTTTGGTCCATGTGAATGTTTACTGTTGCTATGGCAACAAGAGACTGCTGACGTTAGCAGCTCTTAGCTAGCTTAGCTAAATCATCTGAACAATAATAACCCATAATATCACAATTCGGCATATTTAAACAAAATCAACCACAACTACCAACATTCACAGCCCTTCAACTCTGGGCTAATATGTTGTCACAAGTAGGACTATGCAGTTAATTAGGTCACATCACATTCAATGTAAAAACGTTTTGTACTTTGTTTTGGACATGTCTCAAAAATGTAGCCTAGCCAGCCCCAGGCTAACGTTACTTACCATGTATGCCTCCACTTGCTCGTCTCCCGGCAAGGCAGCACCTGCTGGGGTGGTGACCCCGGCACCAAATAGGTCCGTCAATTTAGAATATTTAGCAGCCTCCACCTCCAGAGACTTCAGCTTTTTAAGTCACAGTTTTTCAGCGCCACCCGGGTGTTTCTTCCACTTATCCACTTTCAGCTCAGCAGCAGCCCGTCCCGCGACTCCTGCCCATGCCATGAGGTCCCGCCCCACCCTGGTTTGTGTTGTGATTGACAGCACTGTCAGGGTTCTCTGAGCCTGTCAGCCCATGATTGATTGACAATGACAAACAATAGACCAATAATATGTGTAGATGCTGGCAACACACTGCTAGCCCTCTGTAGCCAATTGGCCGGAGAAAAAAAACAAAACAAAAAAACATAGTGGACCGGACCGGCCCACATTGAGTCAACGGCCCACCAGGACAATGCCCGGTATGCCAGATGGCCAGTCCACTCCTGGTGCCACACCACTCCTGTCAGGTGGCTCTGGTCTAGTAACATCTTGACATCTCCGAGAAAGGTCCACCATTGTGGGAACTTGCCTATTGATACTTTGTTTTGTTACAGAGTACAATGTGTTGTCCTTTTTGTGGATTCAGCCTGCTTTCTCAAACGGCATTCTGCAGTTCGTGTGGCAAAGACATCAAATTCATGTATCATGCTGATAAGCCTGGCACAAGTGAAGGTAAAGTTTCAAAGATGACTTGTCTTTTGAATTAGGCCATTCACATCCAATACTGTATAAACATAGATTAGAATACCGGTGTGAACAATAGGATAAAAGAATTTACAAAAAATGAAGGACTTCAACAAAAATATGCAAGGTAGTGCCAACTTTCTACTCTACCCTGATGCTACAAAGATAATTATACCAGGGACAGAAACATCCTTCTCTCTGAAACTTTACAAGGAGGTAGTGGGAAAGGCGTACCTATGAAAAGCCGCCTAGGCCAAAACTGAATGCTTCACTTGCACATACATATATACTGGTACTAAGCACTTGCACATACATGCATACTATCATGCATACACATATCTAAATATTCAGTATGTGCCAGCGTGAGTATGTATGTATCCGGATGATGACTAAGCCTATTGGTTAAGGTGCAGACAGGTGCAAACATGAAGAATGCGCATGTCATTTTCATTATTTTGATTAGCTTCCAAGTCCATCTTTTAAATGGCAATAGATATGTCAGGGTTTGTGGTAAGTAGGGGTGGACCCAAAATGCAGCCAACACTTGGGAGACGGTGCAGACAGGTTTATTACACAAAAGAACTTTACCAAACAAGCACAGGGAACCACAGGGGATGACAACAGGCAACAAGAGATGAACAGGACGTGAACAGCTCTGTGACCAACCAGACATGAACAGACGGCATGAACCGATGCGGACAAACCCAGAAATAAACAGACAAACCGACACAGACAAAGGGGAGCACAAAGACTATATAGACAAGGGAGGCAAGGGTGATTGAACACAGGTGAAACACATTAGGGCGGGGCAGACAATCACCACACAGAAACAGGACCAAGACAGGAAGTAAAAACATTGAGACACACAAGGAAACCAATTACAAAATAAAACAGGAAGTGTGAAAAGTCCAAACAAAAGGTGTCTGCCATAGCAAACAAGGACAGTACCCCCCCCCTTAAGGGTCGGATTCCAGACGACCCTTAAACAGAAACACTAATTCGGGCGGGAGGAGGGGTGCCGGAGAAGGGATCCAGGGGCCAGTGAACAGCATCTTCTGATGCTCAGGGGCAACACAGGGCAACTCAGGGGGACGGCTTGGAGGCCTTATGGACAGGCTGGGCAGTTCAGTGGGGCGACCTGGAGGTCGGGCAAACGGACGGAGCCGCTTTGGAGGCCGACAGCAAGGACCGGGTTTCTCAGGAGGTCGAGGCGAAGGCCAGCATTGCAGGCGGAGCCCCTCTGGAGGGCGAGCAGGATGACGACGGTGAAGACAGGGTCTCTCTTCGGAAGTCGAGCCGGAGGATGGCGTCGCCCCTCTGGAGGGCGAGCAGGAGGACGGCGGCGAAGACGGGGTCTTTCCGGAGGACGAGCCAGAGGATGGCGTATCCCCTCTGGAGGGCGAGCAGGAGGACGATGGCGTAGCCCCTCTGGAGGGCGAGCAGGAGGACGACGGCGAAGACGGGGTCTTTCTGGAGGGTGACCAGGAGCCGACTGGGTACCAGGGGGAGGAGTCAGCTGGGCTGCCGACAGGACATGACTTTTCACAACAGGGATCGGCTGGACCACTGGAGGCGGCACAGAGGCAGGGCCCACCGGAGGCGGCACAGAGGCAGGGGCCACCGGAGGCGGCACAGAGGCAGGGACCACTGGAGGCGGCACAGAGTCAGGGGCCACCGGAAGCGGCACGGAGGCAGAGACCATCGGAGGTGGCGCCCCGGCAGGAGTCAACAACACCAAGAGCCACGTGGGCTGAGTCAGGGCAAGAATCAATGGGGGTGGCGCCCTGGCAGGAACCACGAGCGGAGGTGACGTCACGGCTGGAGCCAGGGGAAAAGGTGACACCACAGTCGGAACCAGGGGAGAAGGTGGTGACGTCACGACAGGAACCGGGAGAAGCAGTGACGTCACAACAGGAGCCGTCGTCGACGCCACTGGAGAACACAGAGTAGCAGCCGCCGACACCACAGGAGGGACAGGAACAGTCGTCGACGCTGCTGGAGAACACGGAGCAGTGGCAGACCGACAAGGGCGCTGGCTGAGAGGACCGAGGCACCCCCAAGAAAGCCATGAGTTTGGCATCGGTCGCTGGGTCCATTTCTTTTGGTCGGTTCGTTCTGTCAGGGTTTGTGGTAAGTAGGGGTGGACCCAAAATGCAGCCAACACTTGGGAGACGGTGCAGACAGGTTTATTAAACAAAAGAACTTAAAAAAACAAGCACAGAGAACCACAAGGAACAGCAGGCCAAAACACGAGAAGCACAGGGGATGACAACAGGCATCAAGAACAGACTAAGGACAAACCGGACATGAACAGGCAACGCGACCAGATGATGACAAACCCAAAGATAAACAGGACGTGAACAGCTCTGTGAGAAAGTAGAGTAGATTGGGCAAAATAGCAGTTTCAATCGAGTGGCAACCTCCAAGGCTGAAAAATGAAGCCAGCACAGAGGAACCAAAAACTGCAGTTCTTTGAATCGCCTCTTGAGTTTTCACAATCCCCATAGACTCCCATGTTAAAAAAAAAAACAAACAGTATATAGCTAATTTCCTCCTTCATGACAACTGTGATGGTTGTAACACCATATAAGAAAATGTTACAACCATCCCCATAATCAGAGTTCACATATTTTCTCTATCCTACTCCTTTTTTTCAGTATGCCAGGACAGTGGGTGATGAAAACGAATAGGGGTGTGCCTGCACATGTACTTAAAGTTGCATCAGATGAAGTGAGGCAGGGAAAAGCAGTGAGGTCAGTCGCCAAAGACTACTCCATCTGCCATGTGACACTGAGCAGATACTGCAAGAAATTGCAGAACCTCAGAGAACAAGGTTCAAGAAAGCTGCCCAGTGTGGGCTATCACAGCAGTCAAAAAGTCTTCGATGCACAGCAAGAGGAGGTGTTGACTGGTTACTTGATTGAGGCAGCAGACTTGTACTATGGACTCACTCCACGTGAGGTAGGTCTACTGAGCATTTGACAGGTGCAGATTAGTGTGCCCTAAGTAGGAATTAGTTACTACTGTATGCATCAGTTCTTTATGTATGTATTTAGGTACCATGGGGTACAACTAACTGATTAACTAGTCTTACTTTCTTTTAGGTCAGGAAGTTTGCATATCAACTTGCGGTGGAGTACAACATCATACACCCCCAGTCATGGGATGAGAACAACATGGCAGGTCCTGATTGGTTCTCAGGCTTTATGAAAAGGCATCCTAACTTGTCCATGAGAAGTGCGCAGGCTTGGCCCAAGCTACAAGCTTTAACCATACAAATATGGAGGCATTTTTCATGAAGCTTGCGGATGTTATTGAGAGGTATAGCTTTGACGGATGCGACTTATAGAATATGGATGAGACTGGTGTTACCACCATCCAGACACCAGACTGAGTAGTTGCACACCGTGGAGTGAAGCAAGCTCTTCTTGCCACTTTCACATTCAGGCTTAACCCCACAAGCAGCAACCAGCTCTGCCTCAGCTGTATTGGGAGGATCAACCATAAAGGTGCCAGAAAGGTTGACGGGATCAGCTTTTCGAGACTGAGCACGAGTTACAACACAAGCAGGAAAAACAGGTGTCTCAGGTGTTGGATCACTGTGGTCAGACTGTTAAGAGGGCACAGGGCTGTCTGTCACAACTGGTGGAGGCACCTTTTCCCCAGCAAGGTCGTTACCTAAAATGAGGCTGACCCCTCAACTGGAATGTAAGGACGCAAACCCACTGGCACGAGCCCTGTAACCAAACCGCACCTCAAATACACACAATGCAAGGGTGCCCTGAGGTAGGACATCTCACATCTTTGTATCAGTGCATCACCACCAAGGAAAGACTCCTCGGACAGGGGTTACACTCCTTGCCGGAGTATAGACTTGGATGCACCAGTGTCCCGCAGGATACGAATGGGTATGGCACGGTCGGACCCAGACATCACTAGAAAGCCATCGATGATAAATGGTTCAAAACCTGAGGGTTCAGAACTGTCTGAGCAGCATGTCTCTTGCTCAAAATCAGCAGCAGGGAGCGGGCGGAGCACAGAACCAATTAAAGCCGCAGGTTTAGGTTTCTGCTTCTTACTTAACACAGGACAGTCAGCTACAATGTGACCTAGCTCCTTGCAGTAGAAGCAAGCCCTATCTGAACTTCCATTTCTAGAACTAGAGGCTTTACTACCGGAAGCGTAGGGACCAGTACTACCACCAGAAACTTCGTTGGAAAAGTAAGAATGCTGAGGGAGTGTATGCATTTTAGTCTCAGGCTGGAACTTGTCACTAAATGTAACTTGTTGAGTGACAAATGTAACTGTCCGTGTTTCCAACAATTTCAGCCCCTATAAATACACAACAAATGTCTCCACTGAGACTCCAAGCGTGCAAAAAAAAAAATTACAAAAGCTGTATGATTGGTGGCAATAAGCCACAACAAATCACAGCTCACAAGCAGAAAGAAGCATTCAAGAAACTGTCACCTAAACTAAAGTACCCTCAGTACAAAACTACCCCTCGAAGTACCACACAATGAGCATACTGCAAAAACAGAAATACACAGACAAAACTCACAACCAAAAGTGAGCACAATCCACAATGGCTTTCAAATTACTAGCTTCACAAAAGGTACAAGGGTAACACCAGTGACAGCTTTACTATGAATGTTAAACACTAAACCCCAAATCCTCACTACAGCTCCTTCACACAAAAAGAAGCCTCACGCCGGTCATCATGGGCAGCTGCATGCTACTCTTAAGATGGATTGTGACATGTCTAACCTCCTACTCTAGACTAACCCAGTTCCCTATCTATCTCACAGGGTTACTACCTTACTTTACCTATTTATCTTCAGTGACGCACCTGGGCACGCCATAGACCACCCCAGGGCTATCACACAAAAATAACAAAGTGGTGCTGGTCTCTCCAGCACCTGCCGGCTTACTCACTGGACAAGGTCAGGTAGGAACAGCAAGCTACCTCATGTGGCTGCACATAGATGACCTCACTAACTAACCAGAAACTAAATGACTAGGTTTGTCTCCCGGACGAGCCCCATTATTATGTTATGGCTGGCTCAAACACCGAACATAATAATGAACACCACACCAGTAGGACGGTACTGCATACAAATTTATTACAGTAAACTTAAGTACAATGCAGGAATAAATGGAGACCAGAAACCTAGCACCAGAAAGGTGCTGCTGCAGCAGGATGGAGAGAGAGTGAGCTGAACAAAGAGGACCTGCCTATATAGACTCAGCCCACTAATCAGCACAGGTGTCTGCCAAACGGATGATCAACAGGAAACACCAAAATAAAACAGAATGTAAAACCGACCTGTGGCCCTGCCTCCAGCTGTGCCCATTCAGAATGGTTAAAACAAGTTTGCCTTTAGACATGTTCGGACAACACATAGTGACTGCTTTGTTTGAAACTCCTGAACCTGGAAGACAGGACTTCAGAGGAGGAGGAGGAAGGAGATTTGAGAAAACTACTGTCCATCTCAATGGGATTGTACACTGAGGTCAACTGTTGTAAGGTACAGGGTGGATTCTTACAGCTTTGGATACTTTCAGATCTTTGTATTTTTCATGGTGGTCAAGGACAATTGACAAAGCTTCCTCGCACCCTTCGGATCCACCCTTCAGATCCACCCTTCTTTCCATGTCTCTCGCCTAAAGCTCCAGTCCACTGGTGCCCCCTCCTCCGCCTTCTTGCATCATTGATGACCTTTCTGCCTTTACTGTCCGTCATATCCTGGACTCATGCTGCCCTGGGCATGGCCTGCAATACTTTGTTGAACGGGAAGGGCAGGGATTGGAGGAGAGATGTTGGATATCCCGTCACCTCATCCTGGACCCTGACCTCTTCGAGGAATTCCATCAACGGTAAGCCTGATGGGCCCAGAGGTGCCTGTCGGGGGGTGGGGTGGGGTGGGGTGGGTATGACACCTGATTGTTTGTAGTGGGTGTTCTTTTCTTTATTTTCAACCTCAGTGTGGATGTGGTGTGCTTGGTGTGTTTTGGTTTTGTCTGCCTCTCTCTGTTTTTGTCCGTGGGAGGCACCTTCCTGGTTCCTGGCCTGGCTCTCACACCTGATCCTCATCTTTAATCAGGACACCTGGCCTCCATCCACCAATCAGCTCTGCAGTATATAAAGCCAACCCAGACATCCAGTCCCTGCTGGATCATGGTGCTTCACTCGGTTTGTTTGAGACATGTATTCTGCCCTAAAATCTTTGATGGACTGTGTTTCTGACCTGCCAGCCAGTTTTTTTCGCCTGCAATGTTCTTTCTGTTTCCAAGATCTCCTCCAGCCAGCCAGCCAGCCCTTGTTACTGCCCAAGCCCACCAGTAAGCTCACTTCCCCCCTGGCTTCCACCAACGACCATTCCCTTACCTTTTTGTTAAAATAAAATACTTGTTTTTAGACTAACCAGTGCCTCTCGTGTCTGCATTTGGGTTCAGCCTTGATCTGTGACAGTTTCTTTGGAATAGTGCAGAGCGGGGTTAATTTAAACAGTGCACCAAATATATTGCGCATATTTTTTTATCATATTTTCTCACATGCCAGCTACTTTTTAACTCTAATGTATGGGTTGAAACTGTCTAAAATCATTTTAGTATAAGCAAAAGCAATTGGATGTTCGTTTATTGTACCAGATACAGCTAAAAGCTCATTTCAATCTGTAATCCTTGAAGAAGTCATCAGTGATGCACAGGTTCACAAAGTAAACAGCCTTAGTCAATTTTGTTGTGTTCACATTGGCTACATGTCCGCTGCCTTGATGCTACTGCCAGCTCTATCTTTCTATATAGAGTTTGCAGGCTACTCGAATGTTGTGTCAGTTTTATGTAATATTGCTGTATGATGTCAGTATCACTAACAGGTCTTTTCTGTCTCTAGCTGTTGGTAGGCACATGACAAGCAACCAGTGTGGTCCCTGGCAGACCGCGGACTG